GAAGATCTCTGTTCAGTAACCTTTGCTCATTGTTAAAAATAACCAAGGAAATGTTTGTCTGAGGCTTTAAATTGGTTGCCACTATGTTTCAATACAAAGCAAAACCACAAAGTAAATCCACACAGGCAATTTCTACAACCTCCTAATGGGTTAAGTTCCTTACTTATTTGCTGCTTGGAAGATATTTCCTCATAGGAAAAAAATGGCACGTGAGCTGCCAAACAGTGCTTAATTTGGTTGCAACATGCAGGTAGACTAGGGAGAATTAAATCTAATGACCACTTATAACAAAAGTTCCAATGGGAAAATTAATCCAAAATTAATTCAAATTTCTAATTAAGCTATTTAGAATACATTCCTTCTTTGCCTGCTCCCTTCACCCCCCTATCCCCACCCCCATATACACCACAAACAAGAACTGGCACTGAAGCTCTCTCTGGGAGTCTCCTTACACACAGAGCTAATAGGGGTATTCTAAGTGACTGGCAGGGGCTCCTGTAGGCTCAAAAGCTGTCCTGAAAGCCTGACTTGAAAAAGGGATCAAAGGACACATAGATGGGGCAGTGAAGGACACAGAGAGGGGCAGGTAAGGAAGGACAAGTCTGAGGATGGAGGAGAGGAACTGAGAAGGAACAGGTGCATGCTCATGCATGTGTTCTGGGGAAGGGGTTGTGGGGAAAATCCACAGTAATTGCATTTTTTTCCCTCCTCTTCTCTTTGCCAGTAGTTGAGTGATACAAAGGATAATGAAGTTCTGTTTGTAATGAATTAACCTTGCCTGGGATGAAAAAGGTAAATTAGGAAGCAGCCCATGTAGAGGGAGTCTCCCCGACAGATAATGATTTGTTTTACTCTCCCTTGAAAAACAGAACCACAAGCCATGTGACATGTTTAAACAGGTTGATTTAAAAATGTACCAAAGGCAATTTTGAATCTGGCCAGAGAAACGTTTTGACTTCTCTACTGTTGTCAAATTTTTTATTTTTGATAAAGTAGATCCTCTTTCCTGTAACAGAACTATCAGATTAAATGAGCTGAATAACAGTAAATTTCTGTCTTATTTTCTCATGTAGGAGCCCCAGGAGAGACGAAATGAGAAGCTAGGCTGGTTCCCATACCTGTCCCTCTTTTGAGGGACAGAAACTATGGTGCAAGAAAACTGGAAAGTACATTAGGTCCTATGGTTCAGCCATAATCTTATGCTGGGGACAGAATGGTACCCCCTTCCCACTCTAGATCAATTTCAACCCCAGAATAAGCCAAGAATCAGAAAATAGGTGTTCAGCTCAGCACAATCAGATTGTTCTAAGAGGAATATTCACTTTATTTCTATTACTAGCTACAATCGACCTGAGGAAGTTTGTACTGATCCTAAAACCAAAGATAATAAAAATGCCACTGTAAAATCAGAGATTAGGGATGTGATCTATTTCTACATTTTACTTTTTTATTCTCCCACCAAAGAAACAAAGCTCTTTTCCTTTCAAGCTCAGCCAGAGTGGTATCAGCTTAAAACTTTAAAAAAAAGACAAAACTAACTCTAAATAACCAACCAAAGTGATCTTTAAAAACGTAAACCAATTCACATCAGTCCTCTGCTTAAAGACTTTGAATCAGATTCAAAATACCATCCATTTATTCCTAGAGAGATCAGAAACAAATAGCTTACTGCCATGCTTGCGCAAAAGGCTCAGAACAAAATGCAATGCGTTATAAATATTTAACAGGTTGTAAATGGCAGCATTTCCCAGATTTGTTTCTCAGGACACTAGTGCCACAGATATTTCTTTATAAAGGAGTTCAAGTGTTGCATTAGTATACTTAACTTTCACTGAACAACTCCATATGCATGTCTAACAAACACCTCAAATTCAACAGTTCCACACTGATATGACTTCATCCACTCAGTAAACGGCAATACACACTTGCAGTAGCTCAGACCAAAAACGTCTAAGTTTTTCGTGACCACTTACTCTCACATTCTCAACTAATTCATTAGTTAAATCTTGCTGGCTCTACCATCAAAATATATCCAAATCTCACCCCTTCACATAGCCTCGGTATACCCACCCTGATCAAAGCCTCTATTTCCCTCCCCCACCGGGATTGTTAACAACTGCCTCCTTACTAGTCTCCCTACTTTCATCCCTAGCCCTCCCTTCAGTCTACTCTCAGCACAGTGGACAGACTCTGCCTTCTCAAAGATAAGTCTGATCATGTCACATCTCTGCTGAAAATCCTCCATGGTTTCCCATCTCAGAATTATAGTCAGTCTTTTCAGTGGCTTGGATTGTCCTACATGAATGGCCTCTGGCTCTCTCTTACCGTCTGTCACTCTGCTCCAAACACAGCATGCAAAGCAAGCTCCTACCTCAGGACCTTTGCACTTGCCATTCCTGTATCTGATCAGTGAGGCCTTTTCTGACTATCCTATATAAATTAAAAAACCAACCCCACCCCCATGCCCAGTTTTCTCCAGCTCTCTTCATGTGTTTCATTTTTCATTATAATATGTCTCACTTTCTGTCACAATATATGCTCACGTTGTCTATTGTGTTTTCTCTGCCCAGAAAACAGGCTCTATAAGGGGAGAGGCATTGCTTTTTTGTTGTTTGCTGTTTCTCTAGTATACAAAATCATGGGTGTCAGTGTCTGGGTGCGTGTGTGGGTTGGGGGAGAGAGGGAGTGCGAGAGAGGATATGGGGTAAGAATGCCTACTAAAATACTTCAGAAACAGTATTTTTTGGAGTGCACTTGGGGGAACTCCAGTCTAGAAGTTCTGGAACTAAAAGAAAATTGGAACTTGCAGCCTTTTGCCCTTATGACCTTTGGCTCACTAAACAAAATACTTTAAAAGGTAAAGGATGTAATGAGTCAATATTTAAAATACTAAACTATATTCTAATGAAACTTGCTATTTCTGCAATCTGATTTCTTAAAAGCTTTAACAGGTACAGCATGGCAAGGTGAAAAAGAACTTGTTTTGCTCTAGTTGTGTTCAAATTGTCTTTCTGAACCTGAGACTCATCTGGAAAATACTCACCCAGGGCACTGCTGGGTGGACTGAACACAATCACTTTGTATCTAGGACTGACACCTAGCTTACAGTTAATTGCTCAATGGTCATCCATTTATTTCTTACAGACCTGAAATATTTCTATTTCAACTTTTAAGAAAGAAAAATATTTTTTTTTACCACAATTGCAAATTTCTGGGAATTAAATGATTCTAGATTTCTCATTTCTTTTGAGCCCATTCCTGATTTCTGTTCTACAACTACTGTCCTACCCTGGTTATGTGATGAGGCCACCTGGACCAGAGTAGCAGAAATGTCTTTAGAATTAATTAGTAGTGTTATAACTGGGGAATCTAATAACTAATCTAACTCTCACTGGAGAATAAGGAAGGAATCACCAGAATGGGGAGGAAATGATTTTGTAGTACTTTTTAAAAATTTTATGCTATAATTTTGTATTTCAAAGGGAAAAGGCCCTACAGCTTTGGTAAAAGAAAGCGTAGCTCAACACCATTTTCTTGGCTGATGATGATGCACTAAAGATACAGTAAATTAAAGGAATAGCTTATTGGAGATTGTTTTCAGGTAAAACAAACAAACAAACAAGAGTCCCCAAAAAGAGTGTCCAAGTCAGCGCTGGAAAGTGGCTCAAAGTGGACTTAAAAGACAGATCCTTGTAACCTTTAGTTCAGTTCTCAAAATGCATTATACACTGGCTACAATTAATCAGGAACTGTATACCAGGTGGCAATTTAATTCTTGAGTTCTTTACTGACAAGTATTTGTCCTTGCCTCTCTTATCAATATCTAAAGAAAGGCATTATCCATATACTAAGGCAAAAGGCTTCTCTTGCCATACCATTATATCACCTAATATTTACAACAATCTTGCCAGCTCAGTGGTACTGTACCCACTCTACAGGCAAAAAGGTCAAGGTTAGGTTAAGTGACCTGTCCATGATTAAAAAATAAGCAGAATTAGAATTTAATTCATTCGTTGCAACTCCAAAGCTCCTACTACACCAAGCTGTCTAGCCCCTCACCCCTCCACCCTAAGGAAATATAACTCGTGGAATATGTCTGCAGAGAATTAACAGGGGCTATGCTTTTCAGATGGTATTGACTCTACTTAACCTGCCTAGTAACTCGCGGGTAAAGGAGTTACAGAAATCAAATGAGTCGCTATAAAGTCAATGCAGGATTATTATTCAGCACTCTATGTGAAGATCTAGCCTCAAGCGAACGTGCTAAAAAATAATTTCACAATTGCAATTTAGCATTTTTAGAAATTGCTTGGAAAATCGGGAGCCTGTGCCCTCAAGTGGTCAAAACGGGACCTTCACTGGAGCTCACTACTCGGCAGCGGCTGAAACGCCAGAACAGCAACGCTACGATTTCCCTGCAACCTCCCGGAGCCGCAGCAGCTCTGAACTCACCAAACTCAGGCGCCCGCCTCCGCCCCCGCCCCGGGAAGCTGTGCGCATGCGCCATCCCGGCCTCTCCCAAGGCTACCACCGCCTGGTGGCGCCACTTCCCCCAACAGCCCTTTAACCACTCGGCCAGCTCTTTCGAGTACCTTTGTCTAATTCCATAAGGGCAGAGTTAGCATCCAGCTCCTGTTCGCCATAGCCGGCATCTGCCAGGAACGACTTAGTTGAGTTTGACGCCATGGCCCAAATAGTTACTCGATTAGCCTATTCAGAAAGATTGCAAACTCTACCCCAGCACCGCCATCTTCTCCAACCACCTTCTCGCGGATTTTTCCTCCGCGCTCTGTCAAGCCGTGTTACGCATGCGCCTTGGCCACCCCGCCGTTCGCCAGCGCGTCTGCTGCCCCCCGCGCAGGCGCTCAGGGAGCTCCTGAACTCTAGGTTCCCGCGGCTGGGAGAAAAGGAGGCGGGGACTCGAAGAGGGAAGTGACCAGACGGCGCCCGGACGCCGCGACGGGAGCCAATCAGGGAGCGTGGCGTCAGTTTGGCGGGGAGTTTGGTGGCCGGGGCTTACAGTGGCGGGAGTTGGAGGCAATTACTAGTCGTGTTCTAAGGGGCGCAAACTGCGATTCTGCTGAACCCGGGGACATTTCTACGGCTTCTCCCTCAGTTGAGCCTTTTCCTCCGGCCCCGATGCTCTTCAATTCGGTGCTCCGTCAGCCCCAGTTCGGCGTCCCGAGAAATGGTGAGTACCGGCCTTTAACCGCTACTTGTTGCTGGCGGGATTCACCTCCCCCGAAACAACGCCTCAGAACGAGGCCGACTCCAGCTCTGTTCCCCAGCCCCTAAAGTACTCCCATTGCCAGAATGAGGTCGTGCTAGCGAAGATTACTGAAGACAGTTGCACTTTCGTGCCCTCTGGACACTTTTAATCATAATCAGGATTTTTTAAATCGTAAACAGGCTGACGGAGGGAGGGAAGTTGAATTAACTGGCTTTTTTTTTTTACCGTTTATGTCTGTTGCACATTAACTGGGAAACGCGTGCATTTGTGTGTGTGTGTGGTTCTCAGCAGTTTCGTGAGATCGTGAAGACTCGTAATCATTGATTATTAATTCATTCATTTGCTGTAGAACCTTAGTGGGCCCTACTGTGTGCTTATACACTGCTGAATATAATAGACTGTTAGGGAAATTGTCAGAGAAGACAGAACATCTGCTTCTAGCATGGTCAGGTTTTTTTTTTCCACCTCTACTGCATGTGCATAAAAACTCGAAATTACGGAGTGAAAAGTGCCCAATAACCACATCCCCCCGGATAACCACTGTTAATAGATTGAAGTATATTATTCCAAATGTCTTTCAATGCCAGGAGTAATACATATTGTTATTTACAAAAATGGGAATAAAAGTGTTTTGCTTGCTTTGTTTTTCGGTATAAATTGGAAATACTTCCATGTTAGTACGTAGAAATTCAGCGTACTCAAGTCATGAGGTTCCTTAGGTCAAAACATTGGGTAAGAGTTTTGAGCTTAGGTTTGAGTGTCATCAACCTGAAACTTTCTGATAAGGGGGTTAATACCCAGTCTAGACTTGTACAGAAATGAAATATCATTTATTTAATGAGATGTCCAACTTTTAATGAAACCATGTGGAAAGCAAGCAGAAAGGAATCTGAGAAGGGAACTTTTTATATTTAAGGCACAGATAGATCTTAAGGATATTGAGGAGACTGAGTAGTTGTTCCTCCACTTCCTTGCCCCCAATCTAAAACTTTATACCTGCTTCCCTTAGATAATCTTTTTCATTATATTCTAAATGCCCCTTTCTGTCTCTCCTGGGACCTTGCTTGAGTAACTTCTCTGTCTTGAGTGATAGTATACCACAGTGGTTAAGATCTGTTTTTGGAGTTACCCTGCCTGCGTTTTAATTCCAACTCCACTCCTTAACTGTGTGACTGGGGCAACCTATTTAGCCTCTATTTGTAACAGATCTCCTAATTCTCCAATCTATCTATTTCTTCCCCTCCCTCTCTCATTCACTGCAACTCATTCATTGTTATATATTATGCATTGAACTTACTGGACCATCTTCTTTCCCCTTACATGTTGGTGTTCCATCCTAAGCCCCTTTTCTCCTATTCATTCCCATGGATGATCACAGCCACAGGAAGGATTTCTGCCACTACTACCCACAACCTTCCATTCCCTATACTTTAGATCCATTGTTATCAAAGCTGTATCAGTATCTTCACCCAGATAGTCAGTCCCACAAGCATCTCAAACTCAAATACACAAAACCAAGCTCACTTTTCCCCCAAAGCTGCTATGTTATGTACTTTAGTGAGTGGTCCTAATAGTTTAAACTAGTCCTCCCAGCCAGAAACCTGAGTGTCAATCAAAATTCCTCCATTTTCCTCAAGATACACGTTGAGAAGATTCCCTTAAAAATCTCTTGATTTTGGATGTGTCCACCATATTTTGGATCTGTTCTGTGCTTACCATTCCATTTCCCTAGGCTGGGCCCTAATACCCTGTTGTCTGAACTTTAAAAAAGTCTCCCAAATGCCCTCTTAGTGTCCCTCTCTCCAGTTTATTTTGTACATTGCTGTCAAGGATCTTTATAAAATAGAAATCTAAAATATATAACCCTTCTGTTTATTTTTAAATTGGTATCCAAAAATTTTAACCATAAGTTTAAACACATGCAAAGGATATAATTTCTGACCATATTGTGAATATTGACATTTTAAAATGAAAATGCTATACCACTTCTTAAAATGTGCCTAAGGGAATATAAATACTATAATGATTTTGTAATCGCATCAATCCTTTTTTAAAACTATGTACAAACTCTTTAACTGCTAGATATTCTACATAGTTGCTTTTTCCTGTATTTCCACTTTAATTCTTCCACAGTATTTATAATTTGATTTTAAGCTTGAAAAGTTATTGTAGTGATCTTTCCATCCTCCTCTGTATAAAAAGCATCAAATACTAATTACTATTATTAATTTTAATTTTACTATTTTACTTAATTTTACTATTTATCATTATTATTAAGTGAAAAAAAACAAACACAATATGATTTCATGTACATGTAGAATCTAGAAAACAAAACAAACACATTCATAAACATAGAACAAACTGTTTTCACAGGAGGGTGGGTAGGGGTATGTGGGTAAAATAGATTAGGTGAAGGGGATAAAGGTACAAACTTACCAAAGTATATATATCTTAAATTGATGTTTTCTATGATCATAAGGCTCTATGTGTTAAAAGTTTCTTCTAGATTGAATTATAATTGCTAGTAATATGCAATTGATCAACTAAATGATAACTAATTTTGATAAATATTAAGCCAAAAGTAAAGTTTTATTGGAAGTACATCTTTTAAAGAGATGGTGTCAGTGTTTAAAATGCCTTCATTAAAGGAGTTATCCAATTGTCTCTTGTGGGGTCCCAAATTTTATACCTTGGCTCAATGCAAGGTGTGAAATTGAGGCATGGAAAATTTCTTTTGAGAAGTGGAAGAAAGGCAGTGATGAAGGAAGAGGGCAGAAAGAGCTTCTTCCTTCACAGACAGATCAGTTTTAGAAATGCACCTATGCAGAAGTTGAGTATCTGGAAACTGATTTTTCTGAAGACTCTCATGTCCTTGGATGCTACATAAAAAATAAGCCCAGGTGCACAAGTTGTACACTGAGGAAAAAATAGGCTTTTCCAAATAAGTATTGTGGTGGGAAGCATAAAAGTTCATGCTGGAAACAGCATAGCACAATAAGGATCCAAAAATAGCTTAAGGTGCCAGTCCATGGCATGTTTTTCATGGAGAATACAGAAATGATGGGATAACAAGAACCTAGTTAAAAGCCACATTAAGTCATTTGTTGGTGTTTGAATATTAGTTTCTGTGATGAGGCAGAGTTCAGGGGGTCACTATTTAATTCTAAAGACTAAGTCTATATTCAGTTCCACCTAAATGTTCAACATTTGGTCCTTTTGAATTCTTGTACTGTAGTCATTGGATTTTTTTTTTTAATCCCAGACCACAAGTGTACATTTAGGTAACTTTACAACAGAGGCTTTTGTTTTTAAATTCATTCTGTAGATGGATATTTGTGAACTCAGCAACATAACTAATCATTGTATTATTTTAGTGGTCTCCAGTGGCTTTATAATAATATCTGACCTTGAAGTAATACCCTCAGGGATAATTACTAAATCTGGATTGAATTTCTTTGCCTACTTCGTTCTGATTCCTTCAGGTTATCTCTATGAACATCCCAAACTAGATTTGTCTGAAGCTATGTCAGGCCCAGATGACTTCTCCAAACAGTATTTTTTATTAAAAGTCACAATTAAAATACCCTAAAATTTGAGCTAGTTTGTTACTTAGAGAACCAAATGTTTTTTAAGCATTGGAGGAAATGATGAAGTTATAGTCTTTTTGAGACAGTCCTCAATACATTATAAACCTCACTGTTTCCTCCCATACTTAATAAGCATTTGGGTCTCTATAACTTTTTTGAATAAATGTTTCTTTTATATATTTAAAACATGTTGACCTACATATCAAATGATACAACAAATCTTGGAGGATGGATTACTACTTAAGACAGTAGGTCAGGTCTCTGACTTAACTTTCCATCCACCCTGAGTTTCTCTCTCTTGTGTATTCTATGGAAGTTTACTCATCTTTCAATACTTTGGTTTGATTTCCCCTCCTGGAAAAACTTTCCTGACCCTATTACTGCTGTTAATTAGTTTGTTAATTAGTCAGTCAACAAATAATTACACTCTATGAGTAAGTACATAATGCTTTAATTTAAAATTGCTGTAATATACTGTAAGATACTATGACTTGTTGCTATTAACATTTTAGAATCCTAGAATTATAGCACTGGAAAGGAAAGAGGAAGTGAAATCAATATTTTTGTGAATATGTTAGTGGCTATAGTAGGCCTATGACATACATACATTATTTCCTTTAACTCTGACAGTTGGATTATGTATGATATGCCAATAACTTGAGAGTTTACAGTAATGTTGATTTTAAAACTCTGAAAATACAAAATTCTAATTGAAGAAAATGGCAGTTTTTCCAGTCATGGTAGTTTTTGTGGTTGTCACCAAGGGTGGAAGGAGGAGCTAATATCTTTTTAATGTGAAAAGGCCACTTGTTTCTTCCAATCTTAAGGGCACTAGCAAGAGTCTCCATTTAAGATGGTAAGCACAAAGGTAAAGCTCACCAGAAGTTGGGAGTGCGCTTTCATTTCTTCCTTAGGACCCCTTGGGAAAACAGCAAACCTGTATTCGAAGGACCAGGGATAGTGAGTGTATCTGTATTAAGGACATAAAAGGTTTTTAAAACAAATATTTACCTCTGTATTTGTTGCAAGTAGTGAAATGTGATGATGTATTGGAATTCTACAAGGAACTGTGTCTATTTCAGGGTGGTCTTCACAATACCCTCTACAGTCCCTTCTAACTGGTTATCAGTGTAACCCTAATGATGAGCATACTTCTTATGGAGAAACAGGAGTCCCAGTTCCTCCTTTTGGATGCACTTTCTCTTCGGGTAAGAGAATTACTAAGTGAGACTTGATCAGAAATGATCTTTTGTACACTTAGAGGAAAAATATACTGATATGTCTCCCTTTCAAGCAAAAGTAAGTTAAGTTAGATAGTAGAGTTGGTCCACTAACTGTTTTCTCCCAATTTATGAAATACTTTTCTTAATCTCTATGCATAATTATATATTTCCTCTAAAGCATAGGACTGGTATGGCACCTTTTTTTAAACTAACACAGGGAAAGGGGTGCAAAGGTTCAGCCATTGTGGAAACTTTTGTCCAGTAGGTACCCCTTTGGGTCTGACTGAATACTGCTTTCTATAATGCATTGGAGAACATAGAACAGAAATAGAAGTACTTGTCCGCTCTGTTGATAGTTTAAGAAAGGAAAAGAAAAGGTTGTGAAAGGGAATTTAAAACTAACAGACTCAGTCTGCTGGTGTTCTGTTATATGCCTTTATTTGCCATTCCCCAGTAGCACTCTTGTTTAATTACCACCCTTAATTCAGCCCTTCCTTAAATAAGAGACTATCTGGAGATAATTTTGGTGGTTTTGAGTCATTTACTAAATTAGATATAATGGCAAATTTTAAGCAATCTTAAATTCAAATTCTCTATCACTATCAAATGCTATTTGAATAGAATCATCTTCCCTCTTTCTAAACAGATGGTTTGTGTTTACCTTGTATCTTTCAATTAATCTATATTAGATTGTTTATATAGCTTTATATTCAGCTTTAAAATTTTGTGTTACTCTTTATATATTTGATTCTTTATTTCTTATTTAGCTCCCAATATGGAGCATATACTAGCAGTTGCCAATGAAGAAGGCTTTGTTAGATTATATAACACAGAATCACAAACCAGTAAAAAGAAGTGCATCAAAGGTAAGTCTTGGTCTAAAATTTTTGTTTTAACATTTTTAATTCATAAAGTCTCAAATAAATTATTATTTCAATACATTCCCAAATATTTTCACTTCTGATAAAGTCTGTTGAAGGACTAGGCTTAAAGTAAATGGTGGATTGTCTGTTAGTAACTTACCGATGGCAGTGCCTTTCCTGAAAGTTAAGAAAAATACATTTGAGGATTCAAAACAGTTCTTCTTTTAAAAAGTTAAATCTTTTACACTTGGGGTTGGGGAAAACATTACTTTAAAATATTATATTGACTAAATTATCTTGCATGTATAAGGTAAAAGTTCTACTGACCTTAAGAAGCTGATTTGGAACTAGTAAGTCAAGTGTTGAAATAACTAAAGTAAAACAGACTATAAATGATGTAGAAGTACTAAGAAAATGCCACAGGTGTCAAAGGGAAAGCTCTCGTGTAGTAAAGAAGGTGAGGAAAATTTTTCATTAAAGATAGGACATTTGAGTTGATATTTAGATCAGTGGAGATGGAATAGGATTCTCCAGGTGGAGGGAAAAGTATTGGTGAAGTCCTGGAAATAGGAAAGCATAGGGTATAATAAGTAAATAGGGAGTGATACATGGAATAAGATACATGGAGAACAGTAAGAAATAAACCTTGGAACAGATAAAGGCCAAAGTATTCAAAACCTTGAATGTTAAAATGTTTTAGACTCCAGAGAGCAAGATGAAGATTCTTGAACTAGAGAATGTTTCAGAAAGATTCCATTTTAGAGGATATTACTAGTCAATCCATGGAAAGGAATTTAATATCCAATGGTAGTCCTATGTGGTAATGGAGGGAATGTTTAATGTCTGTGAGGCCACAAATGCCCTTTAGCCCTTTAGCCCATGGACTAGAGGGTGCTGACCCTTATCTTCTCACTACAGCTTTCAAGGTATTTAAACTGTTTATATGGCTGCCACAGAACATAGTTAGACATTTCACATTCACCATTTTCTTTGTTTAGAGTGGATGGCTCACTGGAATGCTGTTTTTGACCTGGCTTGGGTCCCTGGTGAACTTAAACTTGTGAGTGACTTTACTTTTATTTTATTGGGATCTGGGTAAATATTGTTAAAGGGTTGCTTTATTAAATTATGATACCTTTTTTGAAAGGTTACAGCCGCAGGTGATCAAACAGCCAAATTTTGGGATGTAAAAGCTGGTGAGCTGATTGGAACATGCAAAGGTCACCAATGCAGCCTCAAGTCAGTTGCCTTTTCTAAGTTTGAAAAAGGTAAGTTTGTGCCTCCCCTCTTTCATACCCATAACCTCCTTTATGAGGAGGTAATAAGAAGCTGTCATTGTTGCTGCCGCTCCCCTGTCAAAGTTGCTACTTTACCAACATAGATGATTGAAATTCTAATATGACTGAAAAACTCCATGAAATTAAGTTGGGTTTTAGTGCCATTCTTATAGATATTTTCTCCAGCTGGTCTCTGAAAGTCAAACATTTTCAGGTAATTTTTTTCTATAATCTTGCAGATTAGGTAAACATTTATAAACAGCCATAATACCTCTGTTCAACTTTGAGTGTCCTTTGAAGTCAGAACCCTGTACCGGATACTGATTAACTCTATTTGTAAAATAGTTACTTTAACTCTGCTTGTAAAATTTAAATGGGTCAGCGGTTGGGGTGGGAAACCTAATAAATTGGACACAATTCGCTACCTAAAAATTTACTGAGTATTTATTTTAAGTGGCCTAATTCCAAATGTTTTCAATTATTCTTTATTCACAATTCATCTTTCTGTCTTTAATTTATTTCTTGTAACTTATAATGGAGAGGGAATATTTAAAGAGTGATACAGAACAGAACAGTACTGTAGCAGCTAGGGAAAAACTTAGCAGGGGTGTCTGAGTTGAGCTTTTCATTTCTGGTTTTTTGTTTTCTCCTTCATTTGTTTTTACTAAATAATTTTTTTTTACAAATAGATCCACAAACATCCATCTCAAAGAAGTAGATGAATTAACTTGACTTTAATCTTCGAACAACAGAGACAAAAATTAGTATCTCTTTTACCATTAAATATTCTATTTTAAAAGGAATGTTTTCATTTATTCACTTGAGCGCTCAGGAATATTTAACTGAGTTGTTGAGCTGGTTTGGTCTAAAAAAAGGTCAATTTTAATCTACTGTGGTTGCTGTTGAGACTGGAACATTAATGAGGAAATATATGGTATAGTTTCTCTCTGCATAACTTTTCACTAGTTATCTATACTAGCGTAGCACACCCCTGTGTCAGAGTTAACTCTAAGTTTATAAAAATAAGGTCATGAAAATTTACCTTACTAAAGGTTAAACTTATTTAAAGGATAACAGAAACCGAAAACACCGTATTTTTTTAGTATCTTTGCGGGATATTTGAAACTCTGTATGTGAAATCTATGTCAATGTGGTCTAGTTAAAAAAGCACAGAGTTATAAATTAAGACAGGTGGCTTTTATTATGGCTTGCAATAGTCCACAGGTGCCTTAGTATGAATTAATTTGTTTGGATACTGCCCCCGAGGCAAAATAGTTTGGTTGGTCAAACACAGATTACATTTTACCCCCTACTCCTTCAGCCAAATGCACTTGTGCAGGGCAAACTTGAAACTATACATTAAAAGTCTGTGTTTTGTTCTGGCTTCTACATCTAAATTCTTGGGCAGTCATCTCCCTGGCCCTTCATTTCCTAATTTAATGAGATTAATACCTATTTTATTTAACTCACAAAAATACTATGAGTATAGAAATGAGGTGAGATGTGAATGCATTAAAAATAAAAATAACCAAGGACAATATAAATGCTTAGTTGTTTTTTTTGTACATAGCACAGTAGAAAAGATCACTGATCCAGTTATTTCAGCCCTACATGGGCAAGGTGCAAATAATCCTAATAGGGCATAGTCATACTAGTGGAATTTTTCTTCCCTAAATATCTACCATCTGAAAACAAGGAAAATTGACTCACAGGTGGGTGTTTTGTATGGCACAGGGGGTGCTAGAACTTCTAGTGGATGATTACAAATGACTGTAAGTGTATTTCTATTTCCTCTCCTACAAACTTACCTGCAAATTTGCACTTTCTCATTCTTCATTCTCCAATTTAAGGCCTATCTTTCTTGCTAGGCCACTGGTTCTCAACCCTGACTGCACATTAGTCACCTAGGGAATTTTTTTTAAAATACCAATTAAATGAGAATCTCTGGGGGTAGGTGAGGCATCTATGTCTTTAAAAGTTTCTCAAGGGATTCCAGTGTGCAGTTAAAGTTGAGAAATATTCTTGATACTGTTCAGGTCCTTAAGCCATCACTTACATCCCACAGCTCCTGAATCATCAAGCTTTCCCTCTCTATTGGCTCTTTCTCCATAGAAAAGACTCAAGCATATCTGTGGCCTGTCCCAAAGAACATCTTATCTTAACTTTGTGTTGTCATGCTATCCTTTATTTCCTTTCTCCTGTAAGTTTATTAAGAGTAAACAAGAGCTGGATAAATTTCCATATCTCAATTTGGTTCAATCTGTTTTCTGCTACCAGCTCTGTTCCTGAAATCAGCCTTTATTCTACTTATTTCACCCTTTCTGGCCATTTACAAAAATTCTTTTCCTCCTTGGAATCTGGGATACCACTCCATCTGGTTCTCAATCTTTCCATTTATTCCTTCATAACTGTTTTTTGTGAACTCTACCCAACTTGAAGTATTGGCATGGTCCAGAATTTGGTATTTGGCCTCCTTTTTCTTTCAGTCTATATACTTTCTCCCTGGGCAATGCCATCTATTTCCTTTTTTTGTATTTTTCTCCACTTGTGTTGAACCATATCATTTTTCTAGCATTAACCTCTCCTGCAAGCACTTTAAGTTTAACATATCCAAAACTGAACTCATGATTTCCCCATGGCAACACCATCTTTCTCCCTCCCCTAATATCATTTCCCTTCAGCCTAAAGAACTTCCCTTAATATTTCTTGTAATGTGAGTCTGGTTGTAATCTATCCTCTTTATTTTCCATTTTCTGCAAATGTTTTTATTTCATCTTCATTCTTGAAGGGTATATTTGTTAGATATAAAATTCTGGGTTGACAATTTTTTTAATTTATTGATGATGTTGTTCCACTACCTTTCATGGCTCTTGTTGAGAACTCTGGTCATTTGAATCATTTCCCTGAAAGTAATGAATTGTTTTTCCTGACTGCTTTCAGGATTTTCTCTCTATCTTTAGTTTTCAGCAGTTTGATGATAATTTGTCTAGGCCTGGTTCCCTTCAAAGTTACCCTGTTTTAGGCCTGCTGAGCTTTTTGAATTTCTAAGTTTACAAATGTATTTCACTAAATTTGGTGAGCTTTCTTCTGTTATTTCTTGAAATATTTTTTTCTGTCCAATTTTCTCTCCTCTCCTGGGATTTCAATTGCTCATATATTAGACTTCTTGAAATTGTCCCATGAATCCTTGAGGCTTTGTTCCTTTTTTCTTGTTGTTGTTACAATTTTCTTATATTTGAGATATTAACATACCATAAAATTCACTCCTTTAAAGCATACCTTTCAATGATTTTTAATGTACATAACAGAGTTTTGCAGCCATCACTACAATTCCAGTTTAGAATATTTTCATCAGCACCCCCAACCCCCCTCAAAAAAACCAGAACCCATTAGCAATACTTTCCATCTGCCCCCAGCCCTACTCAACCACCAAACTTCTTTCTGTCTCTATAGATTTGCCTATTCTGAACATTCATATAAATGGAGCAATATATATGTGGTCTTCTATGACTGGCTTCTTTCTCGTAGCATAATGTTCAATCTTATTTTTCTCTCTTCATATTGAATGATTTCTATTGACTGTCTCCAACTTCACCGACTTCTTCCTCTTTTCTCTCCATTCTGCTCTTAAGCCTATCAAATGAATTTTATCATTTCAAAAATTGCTTATTGGTTCTACCATTGCCATTTATTTTTGATAAGTTCTCTGCTGAGATTTCTTTTCATTGATTATGAGTGTCTCTTTCTTTACATCACTTGACATAGTTACATCTACTTCAAACTTTACCTGATAAATCAACATCTGGGTTGTTTTGAGGTTGGCCTCTGTTGATTTCTTTTCCCTTGGGAATGACTCATTTTCCTGGCTTTTTATATGTCAGGTGATTTAGGATTATATATCCTGGCCAGTGTGAATGGTATGTTGGACTCTAGATTCTGTCACATTTGTAAAAGAGTTGATGTTTTTGTTTTAACAGGCAATTAACTCAGACTCAAATTGCAGACTGTCAAATCTGCAGGAGGGCAGTGGGGCAGATCTCAATTAAGTTCTGTAATTTACACCTTAGTTTTAAGCTGCTGTTAGTTTTTCCTTGCATACATGGTTCAGGGGTCAGCTAGAGACTTGCACTAAATATAAACACAGAATTAGGGTTTCCCTTTCTCTGGCTCTCTCCAGAATTCCCACCTCACTGTGGCAGCTCTTCTTACCTGCAGTATCCTTTTCCTAGTTTTTCCAGCTTGAAAGTTGGCAGGTTTTGCTATTGAGGTTTTAGCTACCTGGTACTGATATTGCAGCAGTGACTGCTTTCAAGGTAAAAGCACAAAAAAGCCAGTGACTTAACCCAGGTCAATCACTTGCTTCAGGTATTGACTCCCCTCCAAAAATTGTATGTTTTTATTCAGTCTGTATATAGCCCTCAGGCAGTTGTTTTTACATTTTGTCCAGAGTTTATAGCTAATGCAGGTGGATTGATTTGGTAAATGGTCATCCTTCCATACAGGAGGTGGAATTTTTTTTTAATTTTTAAGATAACATATTACAGACAAATTGAAGTTCTTTTATGTTCCCTTCTGTAATCCTTTTGTTCTCCTTCCTTCCCCAGAGGCAACCCCTTTCACAAATTTTGTATGAATCTGGTCCATATTTTTATACTAAGACAGCTTGGAGGTTTGAAGTATGTGCTCTAGATTCATACTACCAAGAACACCTTTACAAGCTACTTATTCTCTCTGTTCCTTAGTTTTCTCATCTTAAAAAGGAATAATACCCACCTAAATGGGATGATAACAAGTATTGAGATAATTTATATTAAGTACGTAGGATAGTGTCTAGCACTTCATAAACCGTAAATTTTGGTATTTGGTTTTTTATCATTATTGTTGCTAAATGTTATGATTTAGAATATTTTATGGAGTTTTAAGAAAATGGAGACTGAGGGATTATTCTATAGAGTTTCTGTCCAACATAAGCATTTTTGAGTTCTTTATAATCCTTTCCCTTCGCAGCTTTTTGTCTTATTGTTGAGCCATAAACTTCTTCATTTTCAACCTCCAGTGCCAATTATAGTCAGTACCCAGCATTTAATTGATACTGTGGGAAACTTGAATTGAAATATGTATGTCATTGACTGGTTTTGTTACCTTCATTAAACTATTTATTTTCCCACAGCTGTGTTCTGTACAGGTGGAAGAGATGGTAACATTATGGTCTGGGACACCAGATGCAACAAAAAAGGTAGTCTAGTTCCATTTTAATTTTGATAAATGTGGGATGGCTGCATACTTATTTTTACCGAGTTAGTGATTTCATCTGATTGCCACCAGAGAACACATGTTCATAATCCCCCATTTCTGCTCACTGTTCCAATTCTCAGGATCGAAGATTATTGTAAGTATTACCCTCCTTACGTACCTCATATTTTCTTTGGAAATACAATGCCATTTACCTAAATTATTGATAGAGTTAAAAATTAATACATGGACTTACTGGTAAAGGATATTTTAATTTTTAAAATTTGGCTTTAAAGAACAGGATTAAATTAAATATAATTATGCTTAGATTGCCCCGTGATGCCACTAAGCAGAAAGCCATGATCATCTCTCTGCTTACTTTTTAAAAAAATATTTATTTTTTTAATAGACTATTTCCTAGAGTAGTTTTAGAGTCACAGCAAAACTGAGCAATAAGTACAGAGAGTTCTCTGTACTGATATACCCCCTTGCTCCACAGAGCCATTCCCATCCTCAACCTCCTGCTCCAGAGCTGGACATTTGCTGTGACTGATAAATCTACACTGACTTGTCATTATCACCAATGTCCATCTGTACTTTACATTAGGGCTCGCTCGTGGTATTGTACATTCTGATGATTTTGATAAATGTATAATGGCATGTATTTACCGTTACAGTATCATGCAGAATAGTTTCACTGCTATTCTGTGCTCTGCCTGTTGATCCTGCCCTCCCGGCAAACCCCTGACAACCTATGATCTCTTACTGTCTCCATGGTTTCACCTTTCCCAGAATGTCATATAACTGGAATCATATAGTATGTAGCCTTTTCAGATGTGCTTTTCTCACTTAGTAATATGTAGTTAAGGCTCCTCGCTGTCTTTCATGGCTTTGTAGCTCTTTTTTTTTTTTTAAGCATCGAATAATAGACCATTGTCTGAATGTACCACAGTTTATTCATTTATTTACCTACTGAAGGACATCTTGGTTGCTTCCAAGTTTTGGCAGTAAAACTGCTGTAAATATCCATGTGCTTATTTCCTTTTTATACATTATAATGTCACCAGAAGAGATATAGTACAGTAGCCCTGCTGGCTTATAATTTCACTAATCTAATAAAGAATATAATTAATTTTAAGATCTTTTGTATGTTACATTCAGCGTGGGAATAAAGTTCTAAAACATAAATCAATTTCCTTGGACTATCTTTCAGATGGATTTTATAGGCAAGTGAATCAGATCAGTGGAGCTCACAATACCTTAGACAAGCAAACCCCTTCAAAACCTAAGAAGAAACAGAATTCAAAAGGACTTGCTCCTTCTGTGGTAAGCTTTGATAGCTATCTATATACATGTGTGCAGATCTTAATAGTAGGAAAGAATCTCATTTTAGGGTATTTGGGGGCATAAAATACTAACTATAGATGAAGTAAATGAGAGCTTTGTTTCCTCTTATATCAGTGTTTTATTGCTTAATACTTATTTCATACCTGTAGTAGTGGTTCTCAGACTCTAGGGTGCAACAGAGTCACCTGGGAAGCATATTAAAAATTCAGCTTCATCCCTAGAGATCTCCATACGTACACTTATCTGCATATAATGTGATTCATTAGGATGCTACCGTTTGAAAAAACATACTAAGTGACCATGATACAGTTTTCTATGGGGGGAAGGAATTCCTGTTGTTTTCTTAATACAAACTACATAAAAGTGAGTTTTTTTTTATATTTCTTAAAATATTTGGCAAACTATTATTAAATATATTGAGAAATATTTGGATAGAGATACCTCTCTAGCATCTTATGGTCAAAGCTCAAACAATGCCCATCATAAATCTTTTTTCTTAAAAAATAATTACTATTGCTCTTACTTTAATGTGCTTATTTTTCAAGCAATTCTGGTCTGTAGGGTCCCAGGTAATATTTTGGGACAGGGTGGCTGCTAAAACATTACTATTTAAAATTGTATACCATGTACAAGGAATCCAGATTGGTAAAGAAGAAGTTAAACTGTCACTATTTGCAGATGACATGATATTATACATAAAAACCCTAAAGACTCCAATCTAAAACTACTAGAACTAATATCGGAATTCAGCAAAGTTGCAGGGTACAAAATTAACATGCAGAAATCTGTGGCTTTTCTGTACACTAACAATGAACTAATAGAAAGAAAAATCAGGAAAACAATTCCATTCACAATAGCATCAAAAACAATAAAATACCTAGGAATAAACCTAACCAAGGAAGTGAAAGACCTATACCCTGAAAACTATAAGACACTCTTAAGAGAAATTAAAGAGGACACTAACAAATGGAAACTCATCCCATGCTCCTGGCTAGGAAGAATTAATATCACCAAAATGGCCATCCTGCCCAAAGCAATGTACAGATTCGATGTAATCCCTATCAAATTACCAACAGCATTCTTCAATGAACTGGAACAAATAGTTCTAAAATTCATATGGAACCACCAAAGACCCCAAACAGCCAAAGCAATCCTGTGAAGGAAGAAGAAAGTAGGGGGAATCTTGCTCCCCAACTTCAAGCTCTACTACAAAGCCACAGTAATCAAGACAATTTGGTACTGGCACAAGAACAGAGCCACAGACCAGTGGAACAGAATAGAGA